CTGCTGCTGTTCCTGCTGCTGCTCCTGCTGTTGTTACTACTGCTGCTCCTGCTGCTGCTGCTGCTGTTACTACTGCTGCTGCTGCTGCTGTTGTTACTACTGCTGCTGCTGCTGCTGCTGCTGCTGTTCCTACTGCTGCTCCTGCTGTTGCTGCTGCTGCTGTTGTTACTACTACTGCTGCTACTGCTGCTGCTGCTGTTCCTACTGCTGCTCCTGCTGTTGCTGCTGTTGTTGGTTTTGCTCTGACACTGAAGAATAACTGGGGTTTGTGTAAACATTGGATGACTGATGCAAGATACGGTACTTGGAGAATTCCTGGAGAGTCTTGTGAGACTTCTACTCCCCGAGCACGGCCCGAGGCCCGGCTTGACTTGTGATAACTTGGTCCAACAGGCTGTTGCTTGCAGCGGCCCGCTCCTGCATCCTCTGGCACGATTCCCCCCCCCCCCCCCTCTAATTCTATTCTGTCGCTCTATTACAAAAGTGTACCTCTGCTTGTACTTTACTGTTCTCAATATACTCTCTCTAGTGGGGCCTGACGGCTGAGTGGACAGCGCTCGGGATTCGTAGTCCTAAGGGTAGGGGATCGATCCCCAACGCAGGCGGAAAGAAATGGACAGAGTTGCTTTTACCCTCATGCACCTGTTCACCTAGCATTAAATAGGTACCTGTGAGTTAGACAGCTGCTACGGGCTGCTTCCTGGGGGTGTATTCACCTAGTTGGCCCGCCTCTCAACTCTCAATAAACTGTTACTAACTACTAACTAATTTTTTTTTCATAAACACCCCCCCCCCCAGGAAACAGCCGGTAACAGCTGGCTAACTCCCAGGTATCTGTTTACTACTAGGTGAACAAGGGCATCAGGGTGAAAGAAACTCTGCCCATTTGTTTCCGCCTCCACCGGGGATCGAACCCGGAACCGAGGTTCGGTAAGGCGAGGAATACATTGACTCGGCTGCTTGACGTAATACGCAGCCAGTTTATCCACTCCTGATACTAAGCGGATTGTGAATTTATACCAGGCGTGCTACACCGGCCTCGCTAAGCTGTCACTTTTAAAGTGGACATGCTTGGTGGCTTCCCATGTTGGGGTGTGTGGTCCTACCCTCCCATGTTGGGGTGTGTGGTCCTACCCTCCTATGTTGGGGTGTGTGGTCCTACCCTCCCATGTTGGGGTGTGTGGTCCTACCCTCCCATGTTGGGGTGTGTGGTCCTACCCTCCTATGTTGGGGTGTGTGGTCCTACCCTCCTATGTTGGGGTGTGTGGTCCTACCCTCCTATGTTGGGGTGTGTGGTCCTACCCTCCTATGTTGGGGTGTGTGGTCCTACCCTCCTATGTTGGGGTGTGTGTTGTCCTACCCTCCCATGTTGGGGTGTGTGGTCCTACCCTCCCATGTTGGGGTGTGTGGTCCTACCCTCCCATGTTGGGGTGTGTGGTCCTACCCTCCCATGTTGGGATGTGTGGTCCTACCCTCCCATGTTGGGATGTGTGGTCCTACCCTCCCATGTTGGGGTGTGTGGTCCTACCCTCCCATGTTGGGGTGTGTGTTGCTACCCTCCTATGTTGGGGTGTGTGTGGTCCTACCCTCCCATGTTGGGGTGTGTGGTGCTACCCTCCTATGTTGGGGTGTGTGTTGTCCTACCCTCCCATGTTGGGGTGTGTGGTCCTACCCTCCCATGTTGGGGTGTGTGGTCCTACCCTCCCATGTTGGGGTGTGTGGTCCTACCCTCCCATGTTGGGGTGTGTCCCTACCCTGGCTGCGTGGTCCCCTCCCAGTGGCAAAGAATTATAGACCAGTTGCACTAACGTCCCACATAATAAAAGTATTTGAGAGAGTGATCAGGAGTCAGGTCACTAGTTTCATGGAGACCAATGACCTCCACAACCCAGGCCAACATGGAGACCAATGACCTCCACAACCCAGGCCAACATGGATTTAGAGTGGGAAGATCGTGCCTCTCACAGCTACTTGACCACTACGACAAAATCACTGAGACATTAGAAGAAAAACAGAATGCAGATGTGGTATACACGGATTTCATAAAGGCATTCGACAAATGTGACCATGGAGTGATAGCACACAAAATAAGGTCAATGGGTATAACTGGTAAAGCAGGACGCTGGATACTCAGTTTCCTGTCGAACAGAACACAAAGAGTAACAGTCAATCAAATAAAATCGAGTCCAAGCGCAGTTAATAGTAGAGGTCCGCGGTTGTTCAACGTCCTCCCAGCGAGCATAAGAAATATTGCCGGACCAACCGTGGACATCTTCAAGAGGAAACTAGATTGTTTTCTTCAAGGAGTGCTGGACCAACCGGGCTGTGGTGGGTATGTGGGCCTGCGGGCCGCTCCAAGCAACAGCCTGGTGGACCAAACACACACAGTCAGCGCTGGGCTTGGGCAGTAGAAGAACTCCCAGAACCCCATCAAGCAGGCATGTTACAGGCTGTGCTAAAGAAAGCTTCCCCGTGTTCTGCTCCTCGCATATAATTAGTATGTAAATCCAACCAGTTAGGGCCAACATTTTCATAGTGACTATATAGCACTTGGAAGGGGTCAGGATAAGGATTTGGGATGGGACGGAGGGTAAGGAATGGTGCCCAATCATTTGTGGACGGTCGGGGGATTGAACGCCGACCTGCATGAAGCAAGACTCGCTCTACCGTCCAGCCCAAGTGGTTGGGCACGGTGTTCAAGAGAGAACGTTATAACCCTCCCCTAAGGAACACATCTGTGTTCTCACCTTGTGCTTGCGGGGGTTGAGCTCTGGCTTTTTGGTCCCGCCTCTCAACCGTCAATCAACAGGTGTACAGGTTCCTGAGCCTATTGGGCTCTATCATATCTACATTTGAAACTGTGTATGGAGTCGGCCTCCACCACATCACTTCCTAATGCATTCCACCTGTTAACTACTCTGACACTAAAAAAGTTCTTTCTAACGTCCCTGTGGCTCATTTGGGTACTCAGTTTCCATCTGTGTCTCCTTGTTCGCGTCCCACTCGTGTTGAATAGTTTATCCTTATCTACCCTGTCAATTCCTCTTGAGAATTTTGTAGGTAGTGATCATGTCTCTCCTTACTCTTCTGTCTTCCAGTGTCGTAAAGTGCATCTCACGCAGCCTTTCCTCGTAACTCATGCCTCTTAGTTCTGGGACTAGTCTAGTGGCATACCTCTGAACGTGTGTACTCGCCTATTTGTGAGTACAAATGCGGGGATTGAGCTCTGGCTCTTTGGTCCCGCCTCTCAACTGTCAATCAACTGGTGTACAGGTTCCTGAGCCTATTGGGCTCTATCATATCTACACTTGAAACTGTGTATGGAGTCAGCCTCCACCACATCACTGCCTAATGCATTCCATTTGTCAACCACTCTGGCGTGTGCGTGCGTGCGTGTGTGTGTGTGTGTGTGTGTGTGTGTGTGTGTGTGTGTGTGTGTGTGTGTGTGTGTGTGTGTGTGTGTGTGTGTGTGTGTGTTTACTAGTTGTGTTTTTGCGGGGGTTGAGCTTTGCTCTTTCGGCCCGCCTCTCAACTGTCAATCAACTGTTTACTAACTACTTTTTTTTTCTCCACACCACACACACACACACACACACACACACACACACACACACACACACACACACACACACACACACACACACACACACACACACACACACACCAGGAAGCAGCCCGTGACAGCTGACTAACTCCCAGGTACCTATTTACTGCTAGGTAACAGGGGCACTTAGGGTGAAAGAAACTTTGCCCATTTGTTTCTGCCTCGTGCGGGAATCGAACCCGCGCCACAGAATTACGAGTCCTGCGCGCTATCTACCAGGCTACGAGGCCCCTGTACTCACCTAGTTGTGTTTGCGGGGGTTGAGCTCTGGCTCTTTGGTCCCGCCTCTCAACCGTCAACCAACAGGTGTACAGATTCATGAGCCTATTGGGCTCTATCATATCTACACTTGAAACTGTGTATGGAGTCAGCCTCCACCACATCACTTCCTAATGCATTCCATTTGTCAACCACTCTGACACTAAAAAAGTTCTTTCTAATATCTCTGTGGCTCATTTGGGCACTCAGTTTCCACCTGTGTCCCCTTGTGCGTGTTCCCCTTGTGTTAAATAGACTGTCTTTATCTACCCTATCAATCCCCTTCAGAATCTTGAATGTGGTGATCATGTCCCCCCTAACTCTTCTGTCTTCCAGCGAAGTGAGGTTTAATTCCCGTAGTCTCTCCTCGTAGCTCATACCTCTCAGCTCGGGTACTAGTCTGGTGGCAAACCTTTGAACCTTTTCCAGTTTAGTCTTATCCTTGACTAGATATGGACTCCATGCTGGGGCTGCATACTCCAGGATTGGCCTGACATATGTGGTATACAAAGTTCTGAATGATTCTTTACACAAGTTTCTGAATGCCGTTCGTATGTTGGCCAGCCTGGCATATGCCGCTGATGTTATCCGCTTGATATGTGCTGCAGGAGACAGGTCTGGCGTGATATCAACCCCCAAGTCTTTTTCCTTCTCTGACTCCTGAAGAATTTCCTCTCCCAGATGATAC